TACAGAAGGTATATCTTATAATACAGAAGAATAATTGAGTCACTATGCGCTGCATAAATAAACTTACGAGCATTATCACAAAAGTCAGAAGAAATGTAATGATAGGGGTTGGAGTGGGTAATATAAGAAAGTTCTGTTCTTGCACCAGGCCACCTGTCATTACTGCAGACTTAACATTTTTCAACCATCCCAAGCGTTTCCATATCACAGATAGCACTTTCTCAGCGCCAATATATAGAGCCCAACTATTCGCAGCCCAATATGAATGCACCAGGCCCCTTTTAAATGGAAATAAACGGGAAATTACCTAATAAAAATATACATACATATATATATATATATGTGTGTGTGTATATATATAAATGAAATGTAATCTGCAATTATATGAATATTACCTGTGATAATTGAGTTCTGAATGGCCCAAAAGACACTGCTAGAACAGTCAGAACGATGAGTCCAAGACTAAATAACCGCCTGAAGAACTTTCCACTGTTCAGACAATGTGATTTTAGTAGCCAGACAATGTATGCTGGTGCCACATATACATATAAATGTTTTAGATTTAGTAAAATAGAAAACCACATAGCACCATTATGTACAGCACAAACCGTCATCTAAAAACGAGCTGCTTTACTATAAATAAATTCTATAGTATATTACAAGATTTACCTCTTTGCCAGTCTTCGAAACGTTTGCCATTGATATCAACAGAATACCAAGCAAAAAGCCGTTGTACTGGAAATGTATATGGTCGACTATCAACAGTCCTATATTGCATAATGACAGAAATACGAAAACTATGTGATTGTTCAAAGACTTGCAAAATGTCCTACTCATTCTGCAAAAAAAAAAAAAAACACTTAGATCTATATCGCACAAAAATCTCTACAGTATATATAGGGAATAGAAAATAATGTGACTATCTGAGAAATTATCTATTTGTTTTACATCAAATCTTTTTATAACAAATACGATAGAGAACACCATCACGGTCAAAGACGTTTCAAATAATACAATATATCTTTATTAAATTAATTTATTTCAGATATGATTACGCGCCAATAACTTTCGGACTTTTAACCTAATCAGTCTGAAACGCTAATAATCCCCCCTAAATTAAATTAGAAAAACTGTAAAGAACTTATTGCAAAAAATATTACCTCAGCCAAGGTTCGAATCTGGGACCTCTCGACTTTCTGGGGCGAGTGTCTTAGCCAACTCGACCACTGAGGCTTCTACTTGTTTTATTAATAAAAATTTTGTCTACCATTTGTTTTTAATATAGAGTTTTTAATATAGAGAATAGAGTCATCTTTGAATACTGTAGCAACTGCTACAATAATATTACATAGGACATTATTCTTCTAACAGAACATCTTCTAATTACTTCAAAAATATTGAAAGAGAAAATCCGTTTCAGAAATCGATTTCTTGATTGTTTCTCACTCTGCTTTTCAAGAAATTACAAATAATTTAAATCGGATGTCTGTATTGGCTAGGAAAAATGTTGAAGTTTTGGAAAACAAAGAGCAATTTTGGAAAATAGAGTGGGAAAAAATTTCATTTTCCAATATCATTTGTATAAGAAATAATGTTTTTCTAAAGAAAAAAGATATTCTACTAAAAGAATAGTACAATATTCCATAGTTAATTATTCAAGAGCACTGAGTGATTCAACAAGGATGAAAAATGAAAAACAAATGCCAATCTTTTATTAAAGTAGGGAAGTAAATAATGTACTTCTTAAGTTCATATTATTTAGTCTATGCTCTGTATAGCTTTAAAAAATTAATCTTTTCTATGGAAATATAACTTTTTCAAGAAAGATGTATTTAATAAAAAGAATTGAATTTAGAACAGTAATGAATTACTATTCGATCTCTAACTGACAGTCATAATAATAATTTTTCTCTGATTGCACCAAAATCAACATCATTTTATCGGAATATCTAACTGGTGTTATTATTTGGTGTTATTACTTGGTGTTACAGCAAATAAATTTTTACTGATGATGCATTTATACACTTTAGTTTATTTGTCAATTGATCATTATCTGTATGACATCTTATTTCTGGATCTTTTCTGGGAATTCACATTATTGCGATAACAAGATGACCAATCTACAAATTCTTGTACATTTATAATGCGTGATAATTATAACTCAATAATATTTATATATATTTCATGCATTAATTGTATTATGAGTTAACAATGGTTAATTTTTTAATTTGCATTGAAAAGGCTCGAACATTGGTTGAAATGTCTGCACACTAATAATTTTCTAATATATGATAATAAATACTTCTTATGCACTGACAACTGCAATGACTCTTAATTGGTTTTTTCAATTCTTTTTATTAGATTTATTCTTAGAGTCGTATATATGTCTTTTTTATATTTTTATATATATTTATTTAATAATAATAAATTAAAGATTTTTTTAATTACATGTAAAGGTTGTTAATATAATTAAATAAATTTCGTACTTACTCTCTTACTCCATAAGCAAATATCAGATCGGCAAATATAACGGTGCCTCTCTGGAAATATATAGTGGCTGGTGAGGCATAATTCAAATTCTCCACCTTAAGCATTTCCGGATCGAAAAATGCAGCCACTTGGCTAAGGCAGTACTCAAACCACGCAAATAGAGGTGGATAATCAAGAGTCCAAGGAGATTGTGCGTTCACATACCATTCTGCAACAGGTAGACTATATGTGATAGCCAGCCAATTGCGATGTACCTCAAAATCAGTAGAGCGACTGCAAAAAAACAGGTGTAAACCTCCAATATAAGTAATATTGCTACAAATGGACCAGCAAAGAGATTGTTCAAAACGTCTGCTAAGTTCTTACTAAGTAGGAATCAGGAGAATCTTAATGCAGGTGATCAGAAGAAAGGTCTTTAAAAGTACATTGTTGGTCCTCCAAAAGACAGAGGAGGATGAGGAAGAAAAAACATCCTTTCCATCCTGTTTCACTTGAGTTTCTGTTGAAATGTTTTTTTCCTTGGTGGACATGTTAACTTTAAGGAAATAGATGTGGCAGCCACTGTGTATCTAAATATAGTTTTCTTTAAAATTTTGTTCTAAAAAAGGAAAATAAAAAGTATTACCCAGAAGTCTCGAAGTTCATTATTTTCTTCTATCTCATAAAGATAATGCAAAAATAACTGTGATATATAATAATAAAAAATATAAATATAAAATCTCACATAAAATAAAAATCTTTTTGAGATATTCTAAGCACTTCATCTACCAACTTACGTATCTTCATCAGAATTATGTATTAAGGCGCAAAATATGATAAATTTACAACACTGACGAGAATAGTATCTCGTCGGTGCTTACGTGCATGCAATGTAAACTACATGTCATCTATGTAAACAATCTATAATATGAATCATTAAACTATCTATCTCTACTTAAAGTATAATTAAACTTACACCTTGCTATTTATTAGCGTCAATCACGATAATCCTCGATGTCTCCGTAATTATGATAGGCTTCAGGCATAACAAACATTCGGCGAAAGTATTGCGGCGCAATATAGTAAAATAAGGTTAGGAGTTACGATACGTGGTGCGATGTATGACAATTTTAGGTTAGGTTCGATAGAGAACAACAGAAAATTGGATTAGGACGGAACTGCCGAACTATGATAGTTTCCGGGTTACCGCCGGTTCTACGCAAGGCTGTACATCTTGCTCAGAGCTTCAGTCGGTGTCGCGTGACACGTGATATTTGGAAGTCCGATCAGTGTCGAACGTTTAGCAAAATGCCGGAACAGATTGACAGCAACGGTAATAAGAAGCCGCGACCAAAAACAGAACGGATCCCGAAGATCACGCTCTTGTCGCTGGACAACTCTACCACTGTGACCGTGCTGGAAATGGCTCAGCGTTTGGCGAAACGACGCAACCTTACCCTCATTAAGGTCAGCGATTTCGAAAGTAAAACGCAGCGACCGCTCTATAAGTTAGTGAACAACACCAACATTCTGAAGGAGACCAAAGAGGATACTCAGGACATCGACAAGGCCGCGCAGAAGTCAAGCAAGGGCGCTAAATTATTCTATATATCCGCGAAGATCACTGAACATGACCTAGGGACGAAGACGAAGAGCATAATGAAATTGTTGAAAAAGGGCCACAAAGTCAAAGTTGCCATCACTATGGACGGTGCCGACGGGGGGGTGAGTTCTGTGATTGTTTTCTCCGTTTCTTGATATACAACCGATCAGCAAAAAGTCATTATCAAAAGAATTATCAGATAAAAATGCAATAACGAAGAATTTCGTTATATTAAATACCTGTAAAAATCAACACCAGCTATTTGTATATACAATAAAGTCTTTATTAAAATAGTAATAAATTAATTTAATTGTACTTGAATAGTCTGTAATAAAGACTTTATATGGTATATAAATACTATCCACAAACAACTGATGTCAACTCTTATAATTTACACTTATTTGTTTTATTTTCTCTATTAAATCTTTTTCTCCTTTTGATATTCTAATCTTATCAGTTGTTTAAATAGTAATCTTTTCAATAAAAATTTTTCTCAGAATTTTTCACATATCAATTTCACATAATCATTTATGTAAATTTCAAAACTCTTCAGAATTTTACAATTTTTTAAGAAAATATGTTAGATTTTTTAAATACAAATTTCAATTTATATTTTAAAAAATCTAAGAAATTGTATTTAAAAAATTTAATTACTTTTTAGAAGTTTTGAGAAACATTTACGTCTTTTCTAGAATTCTTCATATGTGTTATATTCTAAAATATTCCAAGATTTCTCTCATTTTATAATTTCTGATAAAATCTTATAAAATCTGAAACAAATTTAAGGCATTTTTTTTTTATTATGGAATGTGAGAAATCTTAGAAATCTTAGAATATTTCAGAATTTGTATATGAAAAGTTCCAAGAAAGATAAGACTTTCTCAGTATTTCTGAAAAGTGTTCCAATAAAAAGTGAAAAATTTTCGTCAAGGATGATAATCTATATAAATGATAATTTTTAATTGTGTTGTAAAGTATAATATTTAAGCTAACAATGTTGAGATAAAAACCTTTCATGAAAAACATAATTATTTAATTATATGCAAATTTTTTCATTTAACATATAGGGTAAGGAGTCAGGGTCAGGAGTGCAAAGAGTCATCGAGGATGTTGCAAGAAATGATGGCAGTATCAAGCAAATGCCATCAAAGAAGAACGTAATTTTACTCTTAATAACTCCTTCACATAATGAAGATGTTTCTGTAAATAAAGATGAGACTGACAACTCCAATATAGCTAATAATGAAAGAGGTACCTGAGATTTGTTGAATGATATAAATATAGACAGATGAAATGAAAATTTATCGCTGTTGACACATGCAAAAAAAGTTAATCCTTTATGTAATTGAATTAATGTAATATGTACGTATTTATGTATGTATTTATGTACATATATATATATAATATGAATACACTTATAGTGATTATATTTATTTTGAATATATTATATTATAATGGATTTACAAAAGAATAACAGGTAAATAGCTTTTTTGTACCATACCTACGATATCATTATTGTCAATGAAGAGAATTCCATATTAATAAAAACTTCCCATTACGCGTCAAACAAACAACTTACTTTCTATCGAACTACTGATATGTCTACAGGTCTGTTTTTTATTCCTGCACTAGACTGCACTAGAATCACTCTCTTTTTCGCTTTTGCCAAATATGAACATCTCATTTTGAGTTCCAAAAGTGTAAACTAGTTCAGCTACAAAAAACAGATTCAAAATCGCATTTTACAATAGTATTTTAAAATATCATGGTTCTCAGTTTTTAACTGAAGCTGTTATACAAACTTTGGTCTTACAATGAGATCTGTAATGCGTGATAAATGCTACAAATATGACGATACGCGTATAAATAAATGTCATATTACGAGTGGTCTTCTTCGCATTTTACTACCCGCGCTAGAAAGGAGCCACACTCTCTTAACATTAATATTATTATGCGGCGGTTATATTCTGATTTTACCCTTTTGCTATCATTAGATAGATATCAAATGATTTGTCTTCGCCTTTCGCGAAAAACTATTATGACTATTCGATATTATTTTATTACAGGTATGGATAATTGCAAAAATTCTAACGTTTTCTCTTTTCTAAGCACAATTGATGTGACGCACTGGAATGCAAATCCATTTTGCCTTAACTTAATATCATGTTGGGAAAGAACCTTTACGTATTATATCTTTAAGGTAAATAAAGTTATACGAAATATTAAGTAATTCAGCATTGGCACGACAAGTATTGCAAAACAATGTACGATTTCTCCCCCCCCCCACCCCGTGCGTAGTAAATTACACTGAAGGACAGAAAACATGAATGTAGAGAAAAACAATTCCAAAACCCTTTTTTTTTCACTACAGTTATTACAGAAGAACATTATATAAACTTCTGTTCTCTGAAAATAAATTACTAAATATTATCTTAATATATCTTAATACATATATCTTTGAATAGTATCAACAATAAGTAAACATTTAAATTTACAATAAATAAATATTTTTATTATTTTATTACTTAATAAAAAAATGACAGTTAAATCGAATTAATGGTTTTTATATCGAATAAATGTATGTTTACATTTCGTAAAATTTACTTACTATAATTTTAGAGAATTATTCAAACAAATATTAAAAAATTTTTTAATTTAATTTTTTTTCAATGTATAGAAAATAATTAGCAAATCGTGCAATGCGTCTTAAGTATTATAGTTAAATGTTGATTCAAATTGTATAGTTTCTATATCACAAGATAGAGAAATCGATTTTTCTATTTTATACAGTCACATTCAAATAATTCCTTTTCTATTTCTTTAAAGTATTTACTTTTATTGATTTTGAATTAATAAATTAATGAAAATCCGTATTTTTTGTTCTTCCTCAGGAAATTAAATTTGTAAATCAAATAAGATAATTGTATTGTAAAATAAACGTATATTAAACTAAACTAACTTTAGAATCTAAAATATCTTTAACTTTATTATCAAATGAAATATATACTTTGCCATGTCATTCGCTGTTTCCCTAATTTTTATCTCGTAGAATTTTATCTCTATCTTCGCTATGAAAACGACGAACATCTCAAGTGAACGTCCGATAAAGTTGTGTCGTCCAGTGTTATTCTTATTCTCTGATATAGCTTCGCTACCTCTATTTCTAAATACGCTCCGAGATTTCAACCGCGTGACATCTAAGAGGGAGTGTCTCATAATCAGTCTAGTTATATAAATTCCAACGTTCGAAACAGAACGCACCGCTGTGCAAATCGCTATCGATTAACTATAGCTATAAGATTGTGGAAACGTTACGCTCATCTATTGCGGACAATCCATCTTGCGGCACTTCTTGGATTCCACCAAAGTTGGACAGAGTTTGGCCCAGGCTCCTCTCGGTTTCACCATTATACTTCTGACTCTGCTTCGTAATCCCTCGTCGCAGGTTGCACTACACTTTGACCACGTTGACCACGGTGTCACTTTACAATTCACTGTAACTTTACGAACGAGATGATTAGACAAACAAAACTTACGATCACCCTTCTGAAAGAAAAATACAGCAACTATATTTGAGTTTTATATGTATAAGTAGATATATTATAGTTGAACAAAATTAACTCTTATCGTACCAGCTACAATTTGGTGCATTATTCATACAAACAGGGGCACTAGAACGTCCGTTTTTTTTTTACCTATTCAGAATGATTCAAAACATCTTTAAAAATTTACCAACATACTTTCAACTTTCTAAAATAAATATTGGTACTTTATTTTGAAAAATAATAAAATGTAGTGTAATTTATAATTACCGAAAGACTTACAGAAGTGTTGCATAAACAGGAATCGCTCGGTCACTAGTGACCCCCTCTTGTACGGTAAGGGTTAAATATATGTATATATAGTTGAATAAAACTAAAAAATTTTACATATTACAATCCAGCATTAGTTTATATTAACTTACATTTTTTACTTATTTTGATTTATTTCTCTGAACCCCTATTATTCGAGATAGATATTATTGAATACAACTATTTTATAGTTATTCATGCAATTATTAAGTAGTTTATTCTACTATATAACTATACCCAATACGGTCTAATACTTAATATAGCCTACTTGCTGTTTATAGATACATAGTTACATAGATGGTTAAAACTTTATTGTACCCAAAATAGAAGACGTTTCTAAACATTAATTGAAAATGTGAGATATTTTCAATATTCACAAATGTTTTTTACTTTAAATTTAACCATCAATTTTTAATGTTGGATTGAGCGAAAATCGCTAGACCAGATCGAGTACAGTTTTTTTTATCTTATATTAATTTTATTATTTTATATAATATTATAAACTTATATAGTTATCTCTCTATATGATTACCATTACTATGTTTTTTCTTTGAATTTTGTTAAAATATTTTTTCAAGCATATATTAAACTCCTCAGCCAGATCATGTATCCAATAAATTTGTTTCATCTATTGCGTTAATTCGTTTGACGGACTTTTTACTCATTTATGAATATATTTTATCGAAACGCCAATTTTGTTTGCTGGAACAATTTTTCTTAATACGGAGAAATTTAATATCGTTTATGTACTCGAAGCGTTAAATTTACTGCGTGTAAATTCAGTATTTTTTTATATATATGTAAAGTAAAAAAGGAAATTGTGATGAAATAAATTCCAAATTCACAGAATTCCGCGAATTTTATTTATCCATTTGAAGTGATATTTTAAAGTGATATAGGACTTACTCTCGTAATCGGTTCCAGTATTTTTGTCTCTATGAAATCGCCGACCTGTTCCATCACCCTGTAGAGCTACAAAATTTATTTTTCTTATTATATTAATCTTTAATAGTAGAACTGATTAAAAAAAAAAACAAAAATTCCTTTTTTATATGATAAAAGATATTAAAAAATTTAGCAACATATGAATACATTAAGCTTTCATAATTGTTTCAATAATTAAATTAATTTAGTGATAAATTAAACAAAATAATACTTACAACAGGGCGGAATCTTATGGCATTTCTTTTTTCGAAGTATTTTCTTTGGACAGCTTTTACCTCCATTCGCGGCTGAAATCTGCTCGCAAGAAAAATCAATTTTAGATTTACGTTTATTTTTTTACAACGCAATACGTGTGTGTATATATATATATGTGTGTGCGCGCGCGCGCGCGTGTGTGTGTGTAATTTCTTTGATTGGAGGATTTACGAATAATAGTTATTGCTTGTTGAAATATTATTGTGTTTTTGTTCTGCGTCGTAAGCATCGAAAAATTTTAACAGATATATGAATAAATAATACCACAATTGTTCTGGTACTCATAGTGTATCCACGACAGTTATCACAACGGGTCCATTTACTCCATTCGGTGGCCTGACAGTCCACTTTGCCATTTTCATTTGATTCCATTATCTGACTGCTCGCTTGAATGCCTTTAAAGTTCTCCTTTTCTGTAAAGATGCGCAAGATGATCGTCAGCGAAGCAGAAATTTCTATGCATTGCATTTCTCGGCTAATGGTTTTTAAATTCGTATTTTCCATAAGAACAGAATATACGTATTGTGTGAGTGTATGTGTATGTGTATTCATAATGGATCTCTGTCATAAATATTGACTTGATATTAACTAATAGAGAAATGATTAATTTTTGTATAAAGCAATTAATTATCACCGTGTTGCGCTCTCTTCGCTTTCGTGCTGCGTTGCTCCTGAACGGGAATATGATAGCTGAGGACGCTACTAAGAGACACCTTCAAGTTTTTCATAATTGTCGACATATTTGCCCTCAACTCTCCTGAATTCGTTAGTAAGCGTGTGCAAGGTATAACATAAATTGATTATTCGTGAAAAGATAGTTTACTGATAATGTGGAAGTTAGAAGCGTTATATGTGATGCAGATTAAGAATTCATCAGACGAAAAAGCGCATAATTTTTGAAAAACTTTAAAGGGATAAAATAAAGAACTATGCTTAATTTTATAGGGGAATTTGGGCCTTGGAACAACTTCGAGACATGCCTAAAATTTTAAGATATCAAAAGAGAATTAAAAATTTCATAAGCCCAACTTTATAGCAGAGATTTCCTGAGTGCTAGAACTATCCAAAGTTTGCTATTATGACCCATATCCCAGATACCATATAACTGTCAACCGGATTAATGAACTGTACCAAATACATTTTAGATATTACTTCAATGTCTTTGGTACAATCCATTACCGCTGTTACCACGGGGAGATTCCCTGGAAGCAGAGAAATTGGATATGACCATGTACCACTAGTTTTATCCAATTTCTCTGCTTCCAGGACATCTCCCCGCGGTGACAGCGGTAACGGATTGTACCAAAGACATTGAAGTAATATCTAAAATGTATTTGGTACAGTTCATTAATCCGATTGACAGTTATATGGTATTTGGGATGTGCTCAATACTTTGACGAAGACATCCATATGCCAGCAAAAACAGTTAATGATGTTTTTTTTACTTTTAGAGTTCCGATGAGGAAGCTGAAGAGAGATAAGGTTCATATATTGGCCACATTTCAATCAGGCAATTGAAACCTTTTGTTTTATACTTTGAGTATCTCTCTCCCCTCTTTATCGATTAATATAATCACTTATAACTATTCATTTGGGGTTCAAAAAAGGTTTTAGTTGTCTTTGTCAAGATTGGACATATTCCAGATATTAGATGATTCTGAGAATTTCTAGAGAAATTGAATAAAACCAGTCCTACATGGTATACAATACATGGTCATAATAGCGAACTTTGAACAGCTGTAGTCACTCAAGGGACTCATTTTATAAAGTTATGCATATATGAAACTTTTTAATCCTTTTTTTATGCTCTACAATAACTAGGTCTCAATGCTGTTCAGCCGGAGCTGGGCATAGTCCTTTAAATAATAATCTAATTTATTATAATCCTATTATAATTTATATTATAATCTTATTATCCTATTATAATTTTTCTTTCATATATTAAGATATTAGTAATAATTAATATTTTTTGCATACTAATATCTATTAATATATCAATAAATCTTTAGCATATTTTCTAATATACTAAGAATATTAAAATTTACATTTTAAAATTAATTTATCACTAAAGAAATTAACATACATATAACAAGCAGGAATGTGGTCCACTTAATACTACAAATATTTCCATGTATTTAATTGATCAATCAGAAGAAACAACTTTACTAATGGAACAATCAGAGACTGTTTCAGAGATGCATTTGCATGAAGTGAACTGTAGTCATAGTTAACCATAGTAAATCTGAGAGAGCGGGAGAATTGTTGTTGCAGATAATTATCATAATTGCACAGTGGGATAGATTGCCGAAAAAATGGTCAAAAGTGAAATTTCTAATGTTGATAAAGTAAACAACACTCATATAGACATAAATGTTGTATTTATCAAAATTAGATAGTTCCACGTTGGTGGACGTATTTTCCATGTTTTAGATTTTAGAATTTTTGGTCAAGTATTTGCTTGTTGGCAACAATAATAACTTGAAAAGTTGCAAAGATCTGTAATAGACATATATACGAAAAAAGCATTTATACATCGCCAATCAATCATATCATTCGAGTTTTTGTACTTTCTCTAACGGAAGTATGCAAATCATAAAAATAGTAGATATTATTTGGATATTGATTCTGACAGTATTGAAAATATTATATTGATGGGGACAACTTATTATTTTTTCAAAGTTACTCGCTACCGTTACGTTTTTCTATGACGTTCTACCTAGAATCAATCAATTTGTCATGCCAATCTGTTTCTTAAGATACATGCTTGTGTAACATACATGTAGGTATATGCTTTAATGTAAATGTGCCACTTTTTGCTATTTTTTGAATTTATTATCAAATATCACTTATGGACGCACAAGCGCGAGAACATTAATTTTAAAAGCGCTTAAGGGGATAAATTACTAAAAAAGTTGTAAAAATTCAAAGTTCGATTATATATACTTGTAACCAGAAGTTATACATATTATATATATAATACGTTGTTTTAGTCGCTCAGCGTAATTCTGAGGACTGAATTATAAAATTCAGAGTGGCGGATCTAATATAGCGGACCAAAATGTCAAAAGCAATTGGATTTAATACATTGAAAAAAAACGATTGTTTAACAAAAATGTATTTGAATATGACGAAAGAAATATTTAGTTTTAGGAATATGAAAGTTGAACAAAAATAAAAGATATTCAAAATTAACGGAGTTCAGTTTTGGAATGTATCTCAGACGTGCAGGTGCACATAAATGATGTTGTCATATAATCAGTTAGCCGCTTATAATGATTCTTTAATATGATTAGTTCTTGCCTTTAGTTTTTATTTGCTGGATCTAAGTGTAGGAATCATATTAAAGAATCACTAAGCGTTAACTGATAATGTTAGCTTTCTCTGCTGAACGCAGTCAATACCAAATTTTACCAGAATCGGAGTACTTTTAGCATTTTCGTCTGCCATTTTGAATCCGCTATTTCAAATTTTCAAAATTTGAGATCGAAATCAGCAACCTCGAAAATACCCTAATGTCATGTTCCACTGCGATTGGAATACTTGAATTTTGGTCACTTTTTTAGAAATCTATATTCCACTGTGAATTGGTAGATAATTTTATTAGCATACATATGTGCGTGCGAGAATTTCATAATTAACAACCTTATCATGATGCGTCATTATAAAACAAGTGTATATGGCGCGCAATCTGATTAACTTACTTTGAAAATTATGGCAAACTTTATAACAATCTTGCTCGTTTGGGAAATTGTTTCGATTAGCGCCGCATCCAGTGTAGAAGAAATAACGACAGCGACCCGTCTGTTTGTCGAAGTAGGTTCGTAATTCGTTCCCATTACAATTTCCCTTCTGCAGAGGTTCGCTACAAATCTCTAATTACAAATCTTTAATTAATATTTTGTTATTATAGTTATACAGATAATACAAAAGACATTCAGTTATAATAACGAAGATAAAAGCGTGACTAAAGTAACGACTAACTATTGGTTGCTAAAAATTTTGTTAGCAAAAATATACGGAAATACATTTATATACCGATTATTTTTAGTACATACTATTTATACCTAAAGTGCAACGAATCAAATATCGTTAGAATTTTTCGCATTGTAGGGACTCTTTCTTGTTTCGTAATGTCAAATAAATTAGTAAAGTTAACAGTTAACACTTTACGTACTTTCTGCCTCTTCTCTTGTGTAATTACAGCTCGAAATTTCGGCTATGCATGGTAGCATTTGCATCTTGCACTTCTCGTCGTCCTTATCCAACTCGTCTGGATACAATAATTGCCTGGATCTTATCTTGATGCCGGGTCCGCAACTAGTAGTGCACAGCGACCATGTGGACCATTCTGTGTAGCGATCGGCAGGACAAGTCTGCGGCCAAGAATAAAAAATCGATTAACATAAAAATGGACAATTTATGGAGTAAACTGTAGAAGCCAACTTTTTGCTTTTCTGCCAAGCATTTATGATAAATTTGAAAAATCTTTCAAATGAGCATTTCCATGGATTGCATAAACCTTTTTTTCTTTGTTATTTAGCCATGCGCTATATTGCATGAAAATGTCGTATATTAATTGTAATACCCGTATCAGATTAGAGATTGAGATCGAGATCCAGATTGAATTTAACCAATCAGAAGAAAGGAAACCAATATCAAGTTTGGTGTGTTTGAACTTTGTTTTAATTGGTCAAATTCAATCTCAATCTCAATCTCTAGTCTGATATGGATATTAGAAAGTATGACAAAGAAGTTTGCTCTTCTAAATGAGTATTAAAAAAGATTTTGAAAAATATAAGTTTTTTTACTCTTGCGTTTAATATGAATTTTTGTTAATCATGGAGATTACTTATTACTAAAATAATTTAATGGCATTGATCATATTATTCTTTATACGATGATTACGCATGTAAAATATTGTAAATATAAGTGTATGATTGATAATGATGGTTAATAACCGATTATTAGGTCAAAATTCTCTATTGATTCGTTGCAGTTGTGATATCACAAGCTACCGTAACATTTAAAGGGGTTGTCTTGTCACGTAAAACTTTAAATTTTTAGAATTTTTTCATTTAATTTCACGTCTTAAGAATAACATATATTCCTGAAATATTTTGATATCTACAGAAAATTCTAATCAGGTACTGTTTGACATGATGAAGAGACTAAAAATTTTGAAACTATTTTTTGAACCTAATATAATGGAGACAAAAAGTTTTAGCTGTTAAGATAATTCCAATTTTTCGTAAAAGTTGCTTATTTTTTTATCGTTCTTAGCGACCAAATTTTATTAAGTATACATTTAAATATGTTTATATCGTTCCTTTTCTCTTGGTGACAAGAATAAATCGCGTTAAGAAGAAAAACGAACCTATATCTTTGATAGTAAAGCTGTCGTGATACAGCAAGGGAATTTAAAAGCACTCGGAAATGTATCTGTAATATTTAATGAACAAAAGAAAAAAGATTAAGTCTTCACGGTACTTGGATCTGTCAATGGTCTTTTGATCTTCAGTTTGTATTTACCGCTTCTTGCGTGCTCTAATGGCATTCTATAAAAAGAATATATGATTAAATTTTTCATACACCGAGGTGCTAGATTTCCCTTGCTGATATCGCGTGACTTACGTGAGGGTGCCAGTGCCATGGATCTACGAGAAATGGTATACAGATATCGATTACTCGTGCGAAGCTATCGCCGCTGGCTGCCTGGTGATTTAATACTTAGCAAAGCTGCTGGATTCGTTGTAATAAATATCGAGCGGATCGTTTATCCCGTCTATGTGAGAGATACGAAGTTCGCTTGATATAAAATACATCAATAGTTAGTCGTATATGAGTGAACCTTTCGATGAACTTAATTTCTCGAAGGACCAAGTTGATCGAATGTGTTTTGTTTGTTTGAATAAAATTCGGAAACCGGAAAATAAATATCAATTCACGGACTAAATGCTACTTGAAAATCAGATTCAATTTTATAAAAAAAAAAAGTAAAATAAAATAAACAAAGTGACTCGCATATGAAAAAAATCTAAAGAAAATTAATAAACCAAAATAAAAATATTTGACATTAATTAAAAAAGCAAATTAAATTAAAATTTCATTTAACTTAAATTTAATTGAAATTAAAATTAAATTAAAAATAAATTAAGCAGATTGAAAGAGCTTTGCTTCTTAATTCCCGAGAGAATGAAATAAGAGAATTATTTATTTTGATTAATTCTTTATCGAGATCTCAACAAAAATTTAATATAAAGCTCGAGACTGTTTAATATTGAAAATAAAAAAATCTCAATAATTATGATGCTTGATAAAACTTTTGCTGAAGAAAAGTCAGCATCAGATTTATCATAGAATTTGAATATCGTTTTTTTTTTCTTTTCTGTAAAGTAAACCTTAGCAATCGTAGTAACCAATAGTAAGTTTACCAATTGTAATTTAATACATTTTCAGACTTCGCGAATCAGCTTCGTTGGAAATCTCGTTTCCATCTGATTGTTTAGTCTCGATATCCCTAAACGTTCTCATACCTGCAGCCATTCCTGTCCGTTCCCGTCCGCCATCTCACCGGTATAATCCTCGTCCTCATCATCGTTGTCCAAATGATTGAATCGTTGCCTTACCTCCTCCGTGTCTTCGCCATCGCAAGGTTGATTTTCGCAATTGATGGTTTGCTGGAGTTGCGGCGAATTTGCCGCGGCTCTGCATTGCTTTCGATACTTTTTCTGCCGGAAGTTTCTGGAACGGTTTTTGATACCGTCGCTACAGCTCGATGAGCATGGACTCCACGGAGTCCACTGGGTTAACTCGCACTTTTCGCTCTCCAATAGTCCGTCGTCACGACCGTTGTTGACGCTGGCGAATTATAAGTGTAATTATTTCACAATACAAACTCAACCAGTGTAACAATTGTGATGATAACGTCAAAATGGTGTTAAAATAAATCATTACTGATTTGAAATAAATCATTACTGAGTGACTTTCTGAAATGAGTAATCATTTCGGAACTATTTTAATGTTATATCCCTGATGAAAGTTTTTTCTTAGAATTTTTCATATAATTTTTCAAAATTTTTATATAAAATTCTGAATTCTTCAAAATTTCTAAATAATTTTATACATCTTTTTAAAAAATTTCTTTAAACAAATTTTTTTAAACAAATTAGAATACACACTCTCTCCTGGAGAAATCTTAAGTCAAAAGGATGAAAATATTGTCACTATTAAAAAGAGTGAAAATATTTGCACTCTTAAATAAGAATAATAGATTTTCACTCTTTTCTGGAGTGTGATTTAAGTACTTCAAAGGAAAGAAGTCTCATTTTTTTTAAAAGATTTTTTAAGATTTTTATCCTTTAGAGTAAATCTCATCAAGAAAGTGAAATCTCACTCCAAAAAAAAAAAAAAAAAAATTAAAATCTGCCGCTTTTATTCAAGAGTATAAATATTTTTACTAGACTGACAATATTTTGATTCTCTTGTAGTGAGATTTTACTCCAAGCAATTTAGAAAGCACATCGATCTCTTCTAGAATTCTTCATAAAATGCGTGAATTATGAAATATTCTAAGATTTCTATAAGAGTTTTCGTCCTATAATTTCTGATGAAATTTTATAAAATCTAAGAAGTTTAAGATATTTTCTCAGAAATTATAAAATGAAAAATTAAAAAAATTTTACATTTTAAAATTTATATACAGAGTGTTTCCTCTAATTTGACCATCTAAAATCTCTATTGTTTTTAATGATAAGAGAAAATCTTGAAGGAGAAAGTTGTTCGATTCAAAGAGGCATATATTATGACGAGCAAAAATTTTTTCTCAAGATATTTTTTGAAATTTCAAGGTCACTTCCACTTTTTTAAATAAAATTGTATGATTTTTTTTACACAATATGATTCCTCTAATTATTTTGAACATAAAAGAAAAAAAGGTAGTGATATCAAAAATCCAATAGCTTATTTTATATCTTATTTTGGCATATATTGACATACCTAAAATGTTAAATAACTTGTAAATTATTAATTTTTTAATAATCGTATCTTAATACTTTCATAAACAAAATAATGAGATAAATGAATTGATGAAAAGAAAACACAGTTGCTTATTTAAAAAATTACCCATTTTGCATACATATTTTTTTAGAGCAACTGTGTATTTTTTTTTCACCAATTGATTTATCTCATTATTCTGTTCATAAAAGTATTAAGGTACAATTATCAAAAAATTAATAGTTCACGAGTTTTATGTCAATATATACCAGAATAAAGTATTTTATAATAATATCACTACCTTAATACTTTTATATTCAGAATATAATTAGAGGAATTATATTATATAAAAAAAATCATACAATTTTATTTAAAAAAAGTGGAAGTGATTTTAAAATCTCAAAAAATGACCTTGAGAAAAATTTTTTGCTCATCATAACATCTCGAACAACTTTCCTCTTTGATATTTTCTCGTATCATTAAAAACAACGGAGATATTTTAGATAGTCAAGTTAGAAGAAACATTCTGTATATAAATAATTCTATAAGAAAAGATGTAGGTTTTCTGAAAAGTATATCAATTCATTTAAAAATTCTGAGAAAAATTTTCACCAAAGATGATTTGTATTCTGTTTGAGAATGAATCATCGTGGGTATTAGAGATATAACTTAAACAGATGTTCTTATCATTACATAGTTTATACGAGAGCATGTGGATGATACTCACTGCAAAATCATGAATTTTATATAGATATGATTTAGTAAATTATTAACTATATTCTCATCACACTGAATATATAAAATCCAGTCTCGATTGTTATCAATTACTATTTGTTAGAATTTTTATACTTTCTATTAAATTTTCAATAAATGACTGCTATATCCTTTTTATTTAAAAGTGTAGTTGCTTTAGAAATTTGCTTCCAACAAAGATAGAAGTTTTCTCATTTCACTTCATACTTATTTTTTATGTATTTTACGAACAAAAGTTTTTCAACTGCGTATTACAAATTACGATTGCATGTTAGATGACATGAGAATATATTTAATAATTAATTTATTGTATAATTTTTTTAAGACAATACGCAAGCAATTATATGCTCTTGCAATAAATTGTATGACTTTTTTGTCTAAAGTATGAAAAAATAAAAATCAGTATGAAACATTTTTGTCTAAAGTGTGAAAATCGAAATAGAAAAATAAATAAGAAGTGAGTGAAATATGAAAACATAAATTTTTGAAATACATAGGAAAAGAAAATTTTAAGAAAAAAAATAAAACACATGAGAGAGAGGGGGGAGGGGATTCATTAGTAAATAAAAAATTTTGAGAAATTTTATAAATTAAAGTTCTTATCATGAGATTAAAAAAAGATGTCATTACCAATACGGGTTTTGTGTACTGTAGCAAGTTCTTCGACTTGTGAGAGACGTGCTGCATTTGTTCGCAATAGCCGAAGCTTCGTTGCGAAAATGACGTTGTCTCAGTTTGATGCCTTTGCCGCAGGTGACCGAACATTCGCTCCACTCGCCCCAAGGAGATACTTCACAGGCTTCTACGTACAAAAAACATCGATTATCTTTTTAGTTGTTACAATAGATTATCTTTTTAAATGTTTTTATGTTTCACATAAAAACCGCATGCATCTAAAGTTCATAATTAATGTACTTAAAACAAGAATTACGTTATACAAGTATTTAGGTATACTAATAATGACGTAATTTATGTACTACACATTTATCATGCAATATCAATCTATAGAAAGAATAGAAAGCAAATAATATGTTGCGAAGCGAAAAATATGTAGTTAGACAAATTACGCAAGGTAAAAGTAAACAGACGTTCATCTAGACTTATCCCATTTTAAAACAGTTCTCGCATGAACAATTTAGGGAATAATTATGCGGATCTGCACGTGACGTGGAAATTCATGATAAATGTTACTTTAATCGTTCAACTTCGCGGAAACTCGTTCACGAGTTTTAGTGTTTTAGAACTGGTGTTTAATTTTGCATTTTTTTCTCCTCGGTGTGACATAAATTTTTTACATCGTCGAAAAAACTGCGGGTCGGACATTAATGCGCTACTTTAAAATTTTCAAGTGATACAATTAAATTACAATTAAATTTGTCGTAAATTCTCCATAAGCACATTTCTTAAACGATATTTTCTATTTTATTTTTTATTCGTATATACTGTACCTGTATCAGTTAGCGTATCATCGGAGTCATCGCAGGTCTTCTCGTATAATCTCTGTCTGTTGAGATAAAGCTTCGCGAAAGGTTTCATGTCTACACCAGACGGATCGTAAAAAGGTGATCTCGAATCATTCGGATACGTTGATGTGATACGGTGAATCGGAATTTGTGGATCCGTCGGCGAATCGGGCGACTAATAATTAATAAGAAAAATAAATATTACTTTACGAAATTATAAATATTTGTTACAAGATATCTTTTTCTCGTACATAAATTTCTTAAAACGTTTCCTTCGTTGAAGGAAGGACTTCCTTGTAGTTTTATTTCTCTTCAAATTTTTTTCCAAGCCAATATTTTTATCCGATCTTAACATAATAACGAATAAATCTGCTGTTATAAGAAACGTATAATTTATAAATTCTCGCTGTTAACGCACGAAGAAAGATTTTTCGCGAGAAAAGTAAGAGAAGGTAGAAGAAGGAAAATTCTCACTCGTCGGAAAAATGCCGAGGGAGCAACAACGTCAGCGATTCTTGTTGCGTACTACAGAGATAAAATTAAGATATTCTCTCTCAAGAGGGGTTATTACGATCCCTCCACGCTGACAATTGACAAGTATCTCTTTTTTTTAGTAGCCTTTCACCCGCTAAGTGAAATACATACCAATCAACCGTGCTTATCTTGATGCGAACTCTTCAAAAATTTTAAATCAATTTTTCCTTATAAAATACGCTAAAACATCCGTCAATCAAAAATTATAAGAAATTGAAAATAAAAATTGACATCTGTTTACTTTACCACGTATGTAATTCCGTCGTCAGTGCCAGCATCGAATGGATACAGATTTAACTGCTTATGTTCTATCCAGGAACAATTAGGCAGACAAAGTTCGAGTCCAGAAACTCCCACAAACCAATCAGGGGACGGATCTGCGGAAAAATTAAAATCGTACGGTAAGTTAAGAATTATTATTTTACAATTTTTAGTTTACGAATTTAATGTCTCCTTTGTATAGTAAAAATTAGCCTTACCAATCATAGAAACTAAAGACATTAAATGATGCTTTCTATCAACACGAAATACAGCAAAGGTCTTGCCAGTGACATTCGGATAACTGATGCCTCTTGCTTTTATTATAGTTCTGATTTGTTCGCTCTGTAACAAACAGTAAACTCAAGCAATAAATGCTACAATTTATATGTATCTATGTTTTTGTAAATATTTTTATGATAAAATCATGTATTTCCTAATAAACATATTTACAAAAAAATATTTTTGAGTTTCCGACAAGTTCCTGAAGCTTTAAAAAAAAATAACGCAATCCCTAACTTTCAGAATTAATTCTTTCTAATTAATTATAATGTCAATGATGGAAATAATTAAAAGTCAGTTTGGAAATCAGTGCTAGCGTAAAAGTACGCATTTAATTAGCTTTTGGCTGTCGGCGCAACTATAAAACTCATTCTACAATTGCATAAGCGTAGTTGTAAGTGGTTATAGTTGTGAGAATTGATCAATCGCAATCGAATATTTTTCTTATATTTGACTGTGATTGGTTAATTCTCATAACTACAACTTATAACTATGCTCATGCAATTGTAGAATGGGTTTTAGATCGCAGCAACTGTAACTCACACAGAACGTGCCGTTTTGGTTAACCAATCTGTATGTAAAAGACAATTGTCATTGCAGAGATAAAAGAGATATATTAATTTTTTCAATAATAAGGAATAAAAGTAATGGCTCCACCGATCAAAGCTAGATATTTAATGCTTAAATAATTCAATCAAAAGAATTACTACGTATATATTATATATGTACATATATATATATATATATTATATATATATGATATTTGTAGTCATTCAAACTGCGCGCCGATTCGTTTTTCATACTTATAAACGCAATTAAACTACTGTAATAATATCACAAATTAAATTGATAATGACTATTTTAATAATCTGATGCTCAATCAGGCAATTTATTAAAAAGATGTTAATATGCTGAAAAACTGCAAATACATTTATTGCGAAAAATATTATCTCGACCTGTAGATACCAAATATGGTATACACATATATATATATATATATATATATATATGCATGTATAGATATAATATATAGTAATTTAGATTGAATTATTTAAACATTAAAGCTCTAATTTTGACCGTTAAGGGCATTATTTCTATTCCTTATTATTGAATTTTCAAATGCACGGTCCAATAAGATTTTTATTGTTTATATTAATTTTTGTAATTACAGAGAGTTAACATAAATTAATCTACGCTTCTCTAATTTATTTTAGTTCAATTTTTTATATTTATATGTATATATAAGTAGTCTCTTATATTTTAGCATATCTATTAATGAAATTATGATATAAGAATATTAATGGAATTATATGGATATAAATGAAATATTGAAAACTAAGGCAATTTATTTGAACAGAAAAAAAATTAATTTATCTTAAACATTTCAAAATAGGACAAAGTGAATTAAAAACTTTGCGTAGCTCTTCTTCAAGGTATACAATTGCATATATATTGCATTTCTTACCTGATCCTTTAACTCGGATTCTAACCTCCGTGTTGCACCAAACTCTGCCACTTGTTGTAGTCCAATACTAGCCATGCCATGGTAACGAAAGAATCTGTAATCGTAAGTGTGCGATGCGCCGATTACATCTGAAAATCGAATCAGCCAACCTTTGCTAGGAAAATGCTGTAAGAAGACAGAATAATGAACGGTGGTTAATCAGGTATCAATCGTATGAAGGGTCCCACAAATGATTTTATCGTGATTTCAAATATGCTGAAAATACAAAAAAAAATATATTACAAGCTCAGTTTTTCAGGTACTTGGGCTTGAGAGATATTATATCCAAGTAATCTACTTTTAAATCTTTCACTCACAAATATACTCGTATATTATACCCGGTATATATATTTTTCTTTATATACATATATCTATTATTTAATATATTTGGAAAATATAAATTTTCCTCTTACTGTTTAAAAAATAAGACCTTACAAGACTCGCAAGATTTTAACGTTTTATTCTTCTAAGGCTATTATATAAACTCGCATAAAATTGTGTAATACGTTACAATTTTCGTTTGTTGCCGATTATTTACATACGTTCGGGTGTGTATTTCGAGACCAGAGGCCTTCGAACGTCACTTCGAATTTTGCCTCGTCGCAAGCACAACATTCTGGAAGAATCGGGCCCTGATCATCGGCTTCCACTTTCGAATCTTGGCATATATTTATATTTAAATTTGGGTCATCCATATACCATGTATCTATTGTCTCTAATACTGTCGCTCTGCAAAAAAAGAAGACAAAAATGTAATCAACTATATGAGTACTATGGCCGAGAATGTATCATATAAAAGATTTTCATGCAAAAGATTTTATCATTAAACAAAACGTAAAAATATAAAATGAGACAAAATAGTTAATCTTTCGAGAAAAAGCTCAAAGTATAAGTAAAATTTTATATAATATAATCATATAATACTTACATGACTATGTATTTGAATATTACATATGTATGTATACTGAATGTATATAACAATACTGTAATATATTGTGTATATCTTATAACATTTACATTTATTTAAATAGCGCATTTACAACGAAAAATATATTATTAGATAGTATTTAATTTTGTTTCAGAGGTAAATAAAATAGCGTAATAAATATCACAATAAATATCGTTTCCATCTTTATATATATTTGATTTTAAAATCCTTTAATACAAATACTGTATGCAGTAAAATGTTACAAAGCTGCAAAATTTGGCATATAAATAAAACATTATAGCTAAAGGCATTTTATATTATATATATTTAATCATATACAACCATGTTTAAATTATAAACATTTATTGCATTCTGAAGCGATGCGTTTATCATTAAAGTTACATTATTGCTATTTAATTTCTTTTTGAATGTCGCAAAATATATAAATATCTGTTTATTTTTCTGCACATTTAAAAAAACGTACATCATAATTTTATACGCGTATTAATAAAATGATATTATATTAAAATATTGACATTTAATTTACAACAAGAGTTGTGTTGAAATTTTTTTAAATTGTTATTCTGGAAAAATATTACGAAAAAGATCATTTTTAATAAAATGTCTCTTCACCTGAGAAGGATGCAACCGCTACCTTCGGCAGGACTAGTCCAAACAACAGAAATGTTTTCTTTCTGCACCTTGGATGTCTCCACGATAGTGTTCGCACAATTATCCGCGAACTTGGTCATCATATCGTCCTGAAGATCGAAAATGCCGACATCAACGGTATCATTCGCGTTTTCGACCTCGATTGATATGAGGAATTTCGTAAACTTCCGGTGCATCTGGTCGGAAGTAACAGCCTTCAGAACCACTGAAATAATAGGCAATCTTTATTCGGTATGTCCGCATTGCATTCCGTTCTACAGTATGACCGCGAGATATTTTATGTGGATGCAATACAATTTTGCCTATAAAAAAAATAATGTGTATTTGTTCGTAGTAATGTTTATACATATAGGTTGGGGCATTTTAATCGTCCTAGATGGATATCTTAGAAACTATAAGAGAGATACAGGAAAAAGTCTTATATAAAAGTTGTAGGTATTTTCTAGATGCACCCACGCACACATAACAGATTAAATTCGACTGAGTAACCTCCACATAGCACATCTTGGGTAATGATAATGTCAGCAGTACAGTAACTGTCAAGTTTTGTAACTCGAAAAGTGCTTAATGAAAAAATACTTTATTATAGCGTTTTGAAAACATCTTGACTTGAGCTACAAAAATATGCAATAAAAAATAGGAATTTCTGTTTAAAAAATTTATGTCGACCTTGACTTGACTTAGTGTCTCTTATAAAATCCGTTATTTTTACCTTTTTTCTCCAAAGAAAACCTATAACTTTTATATGAAACTTTTTCTTGTATTTCTTTTAGTTTCTGATATCCGCCTGAAACGATTAAAATGCCTCATCTTATATGTATATAAGCAAAGATTATATTTTTTTTATGTCATAATGTAGGATTTAATAAAATATTCAGAAAAAAAAAGAAAAAACTCTACTTGCGTACGTCCATTAAAAAATGCATGCAAAATGATATCGTTTTAATATACGTTTTAATATATATATTGCGATTTTTATTATTATAAATTTATTTTGATACAACGATGAACGATTGAAATATCAAAATAAATGTAATAAAAATTGCGATGTATATATTAAATATCTTTTTGCGTGTGCGTTTTTTAATGGACGTCTACAATTGGAGTCTTTTTTATATATTTTTTTTCTGAGAAAGTAATTTCATTAATTTTACTTACGCTTGCAAAATTGTTAATTTATTGATAATCGAGCAAAATGTGAAAAAAAAACGATAGCAGATTGCAATAGCTTTTCAAATAAGTTTCTTTCAAAACATTAATCTCATATCCTACATTGTGTACGTGATACACATAAACATATACATACATCTATATTTGTTGGTAGACAAACTGAAATGGCCAGTCAAACAATTTGGTTCTGTTTTCTTTTTCTCCTTTAATCACTTAGAAATGAAGTAGCTCAGACAAATTCCATAGAAAGATAACAATTTCTATAAAAATCCAATATATCCTTACAGGTACGTACAATATAGCAATAAATAATACTTCCACTATTGACGTTCTGGAACATATTTGTATTTTATGCAATTCGAGATACGGAAAATGTGAATTTATTCGATTTTTTATTTTCTTTCGTATTCTGCTTCATCTATTCATAATCGTTGTTGAAAGTAATGATTTTGCCCAATAAAATATCGATACGCGATTTTCATTAATATTTTTCCAAGTTACACATTTTATTTTACATACTTTGACGCGCAGAAAAAGATAGGAATTGCATGCTGTATCGAGCTGGTATTGACGCAACGTCAAAGAAGAGATATTCGAGAAAATGGAAAATTCACAGAGCGAATAATCCGAGGAGGCTGAATCGTTGTGCGTAATAGTGATCATCTAATATTTATATATATTGACGTTTAATCAGTGGTTAATATGGAACGTTGGCGTTCATACAAGCGTTGGATTAACGTGACGAGGCCAACGCAACCGCCCGTATACCGAAACGTAACGGGGAAGACAAACGACATCGTCGTATTAAACTGTTTAGAAAACATATTTAAAAGGTACACACACGTCCCTGAAAACGATTTTCTCCAAGAATTCGCTTGATACAATACCTAACATAGTAAATCCAAAATGTATTGTACAGGAGATGTTACAAAAATACTTCTCGAATGTGGTTTGTGTTTATTTGGAACCTAATTTTAGCGAGACATTTATTTTCATATTTTATGTAAAGACAGAGGATTATAAACGCGAATTTGTGTTCTCTAACTGTATGAAATTTAATGAAGATGTTAATATTGTATGCTTTTTACATCATATTACCTTATCTAATGTTACACCGAACTATTATTTTGGAAGTTGCGAGACAGTGCAAATCTTGACAAGATTAATGAGAAATAAATACGGAATAGATGTTGGTGACACTACCTTTCTACTGATTGAAAATAAGTTTACAATGTCTGCTATAGCAAATTGCTTTCCGAGTATAACATGGGACAAGTTCCATAATAATTGTAATGATCCTGCTTTTTCTAAAATATTTGCTAATTATTTTGTTTTATTTCTGTTTGATTTTTGTCTCCCCAAAACGATCTTCATGCCCATGATTGTAATGATTCTTCCTAAGTTAGAAGAGCCGTCTATTGCAATACTAATTGCTATATTTATAAAATTACGTGATTTTTACATGCCTACAGAGCCGAAATATTCATTGGAATTAATATATAATCAGATTCTTGAAATTTACAATTATTCAATAATTCCTGAACGCTTGAAATTGAATCTATGTATGAAATGGAATATTACGGTGAAAGAAAATAACGTATATAAATTTGCTCCTTGTTTTGCAAAAAAATCGTTTAAAAGCTAAGCACTTAATATTAAAAATAAGACTAAATGATCCAAAATTATATGATATTTTACTTAAAATATAAAACTATACATATGCATATATATGTGTACATATATGTGTATATACACGTACATATACATATGTGCATTCAATTATTTCTTTGTTATCGTTGTAGACATAACTATCTATGTCTTTTATCATCGTTTATCGTCATTCGCAAACATAATTAATTAATAATGCATCTTTTTTATCAGATCTTATATATTATTTGTCTATCTATATATCACATCACTCAATCATATCTTCGTATAAATAGTACTGCCCAAGACAAATATAGATTGAATTTAAAATTATTTATACACAAATCATACAATTACAAAAAATTATTATACAATTTATACAATTATACAAAATATTTCTTAGAGTAGACTAGATATTTTAAGATCATAGATCAATATATTTTAATTAGTAATTTGCTTGAAGTTAATTAAATATGCAAATGTTTTAGATAATCGATATTGCTCATTTTCAACTAAAAGATTTATGTATCTGCATTTTATAATTGTATAATATACATACTTATACACATATAGTCCATAAGTTTTAAATAAACAAAAATTATATTAAATAAAGAATATATTAGAAAAATATTTTCTACCGAAATAAATTAATATGCCACGTTGCTTTTGATTTAATTTTTGCATTGAGTGTTCCTCTTTTACTATTGTTTTTAATTAGTAGATCACATATTGATTAAAATTTTTGAAATATCAAATAAATAAAAAAAAAAGTAATCTTAAGTCATCCAATCTACTTACCTAACTTGTCTTTCTCAACTATTTCTTGTTTTTGAAACTAAAATTGCAGTTGAAAGGCAAAATTCGGTATTTCAGGAATTCAAGCCGCTGTAATGGTTATAATTGAATAACTGATGACAATTACAAAAGAGAAATACACAGCAGCAACGCAAGAATTGAAAATGAGGGCAGAGCGGTGTTAATTATAAGAGATTATTATAGTTTGAATAAAAAAAAGTTTAAAATATTTTTCTACAAATGTTGTTCTTTATATGATTTTTCTGCAAATGTTGTTTTTTATATAATTTTTGTCACAAAGCTTAAGGACTTGGATTATGTATCTGAAGATGTCTCGCTTTAATATGTATTATGAGTTAAAAAAATTATACTAATTTTCAATTACACGGAAAGATCCGATATTTTGCAGAACATCTAAAAATTCCTTATGAATTATTTAATAATCTAACAAAATTATTTTTAGATCCATATGTAACTAAATTTTTAGATATTTCAGCAAAGTCTTTACTTCTGTGAACTTTCTAAATTTAATTCAAATTATGTATCTTTTAGACTCATGCACTAATGTGTAATACAATTAACTTGGAGAACATAAAATGATATTATTGTAAAACGTATCTATATATATTGTGTATAAGGTATATTATTATAAAAGATTTCCGTATTGATGTAAGCACAGACGGTAACGATACTTCTACGGTGAGTTTATTAATAGGTAATTCAATACTCATTGTAGCTTATAATTCTTGTTAATACTGCAATTTGCTACTCATATACTGGTTGTTTCTGAATTATATGTGTATATCTATGTATTATATTAAATTTTGGTCTGGCAACAGAAAAGGACTTTTTCAATAAAAAATATATATATGAAGTATGAATCATTGGTCGCAAATTGCGCATTGAATTGTAAGTTGTCGCTGTAAGTTATCGAAGTTATATATACAAAATACCGAAAAAAATTTAAGCAATGTATAGTATGCATTATATTAATTTATATATATATGTATATATGTATATGAAAAAAAAAATGTATTGTATACAAGCAATGTCAGTTTTAAATCGTTTTTAATACAGGTATTATTTGTATATCTTTTCGTACACAAAGTATCTTATAGTATAACTATATTTTCGCATTTCTTTTGTTTCGCGTTAGTAATATATGCGCAATGCATATATTACTTACAAAAGATTTATAATCGATAACGTACGTGTATTTTAAAAAATCATTTTAGACTGAAGAGTAACGCCCATGTGTTATTTTTCTATAAGTAAATCATATAAGTAATCTGAATTATTAGGATTATTATCGGATTTTCTTTATATATAATCGTAAAATATATGAAATTAATTATATTGTGTGTTTGCAATATGTATGAATGTATCGCCATTATTATGTACGTATTTTATAATATAATCAAATATAATTATTTAAAATATATCATAATAATACAAACATTAAAGAGAATTTTATGCAGCAAACTTTTTTACACTTATTTTACAAAATCGCAATTTTTTCAAAATAAACAGAAAACATTATATCCTCCGCGTCTGTATCACATTTAGCGTAATCTGTATCATTATTTTTAAGTA